TGGTCTATGAAAACCCATTTTTGGGTTCCATTTAAGTTTTTGGGGAAGGCAGTATGAGGACTTCAGAAGATGTCTCTTGACGTTCTTGGGCTGTGACAACGAGAGCTCGACTGTAGCTCAGCTGAATACCATTCGATTGTGGGCCAACCTCTCTTTCTATAGCTTCTTGCTGAACCTAGAGCAAAGGATCCTGTACCCTCACTCATGTCCCCTTTAACCCTCACCCCTGAACACGATAACCTATGCCCGACTGCTTCAACAAATCTGTGCAAGGCCGTGCCTTGCGTATGGACAGTTCCAACAAAGCAGGGCCCTTCATATGCCCCCAAATAGTCGGCCCCTACAACCCTACTTTAGACCCGAAAGGCCCCCAGATTTAGTTCTTCATGTAAGGATTTCTATTATACTCTCAGGTCCTAAAGCCGAGGCCTTTTGGTTGTGTGCCTAAGCTCAACCCGACATAATCATATATATATATATAACAAACCTGAAACCCGAACCTCCTAAGCCCTTAACCCCCGCTGCTCCTGCTGAGACAGATCCTGCCTCCCCACACTTCGCCAGGAAACCTACGGCGCAAATGCTAAAGGCGTAGGGTCTTGTTTTGCTTGCCATAGTTTCCTGCCATACTTGGCAGCTAGGTGACACCGTGGGCACGTGGGAAGCAGCTGCAAAAATGGTGGTCAAGTAAATGAATCATTTTGCCTGCTAGCGTTGGTATACGGAGCGCAGGCACCCGCTACATAAGTAGGGTCTTTGAGCTCAGGGTTTGAGCTCAGGGTTTAGGGTTTAAGGTTGATAGGCAGATGGCTTTTGGGCTGGGGGTGTAGGAGTAGGGCTAGAAGTATGATTTCCTTCGGTGCGAGAACATGGTACGAGAACGCGACGTCTTTGCGGGAATGATTGCTTTGGCCTTTGGTGCCTGAGGCCTGAAGGCCTCCTAGTCTTGGAGTCCGGGATTTAACGATTGGACTACGGAATTAAAGCGCGTTGGAGTGTAGAGCTCGTAGCTTTGACGTAGAGGTTTAGATCTTCAGTCTTGGCGTGCAGACGTTGGTGCTTCAGGTTAGTTGGGGCTGAAGGCTAGGGCTTCAGTGTGAGGTTTCGAGTTGTTTAAGTTGAACTACTATGGGTGGCTTGGGTGTCTAAGCCTCGGGGTCTAAGAGAGCATGCGACCCATAAACTAATGCAGGTAATTCAGTGCCGTATGAACCCTTCATGAAACGAAGCACATCATGGAAACTCTGCTTCAAGAGTTCGTGGCTCCGTATAAGATGTGTGGAAAATGCCCAACTACTACCAGGTGACAACCTTTAGCCCTACATAGTCTCAAACAAACACTAACTTTTTCCCTATATACCATCACCTTCCACTCCCTATGCATCAGCTAACGCTGCCAGCCCAAGAGCTGTCATGTCAGGGCAAAGCGCAAACTCCGGGGAGCCAAACCATAGGGTCCCAGGCTATCTGCACCCTCTACCACCCCGCTCCAAAAAAAGGCCCAACTCACAAAGTAACTCTTACCGTAGCTGTAGTATAGGAGACTGTGACCCTGAACTCTAAGCCCTAAACTATACGATGTTATTATCCCTGCACTTTCTCAACAACCTGAGCTCTCAATCTAAAGCCCTAGGCCCTAGACCTGCATCGCGAACTCAGCCTCCAACCTCAGACCCCTGAACCCAGAGCAATAAAATGCCTAAACCCCAAATCCCTATACCTAGACCCCCAAGCGCCCAATCCCCAAGACCCATACCCCAAATCCCCAAACTCATAACCTGCACCCTTAGTCCCTCACCTCTAAACCCAAACCCTTTACGGAGGTTCCGGCCTTCATCCTGCTGACTGCTGGCCGGGCACGTCTTTCCTCATCCCGCGGTGCTAGAGCCGCCTGAAGAGAAGGCTAGGATGCCATTGAGGGGGTTATGGGGATACATAGGGATGGTTAGGAACACTTTAAAAGGCTATATAGGGATATATATATATATACATATGCGCATATCAAAGGTTTAGGGTCTAGGGGTTTGAGGCTTAGGGTACGGAGTTTCTCAAAAGGGGGACTCCTAAATCCTAGTCCTCCATCAACCCTAAACCCAAACTCTGATCCCTAATCCTGTCTCCATGAAAGCAATGTGGATGCGTAGGCCATTCTTGCGGAAGCCCTCGACAGTTGCCGCACAGAATATTCGGATATGCTATGCGGATATGAATATGCTTCCCTCCTAGTATCACGTAGAATACCAACCAAATCTTTGTTGGACCATCGGACGCCACCAATCCACGCTAGGTCATGCCAAACTTCTGCGCTTGGGCGGCCTCGAAGCATAGTAACTACTGTAAGTACTGGGGTTCAGAGGTTAGGGTTTGGGGGGTGGGGTTGGGTTTGGGGTTGAAGGTGGGGGTTACAAGTTCAAATATGAAGCCACAACAGTATTTGCCCTGTCCAGGATGTGATGTCTCATTACAACCAAATTCAATTTGTGCCTAACCTTTCTTTCTTTCACCTGAAAATACCCTTCGTGTAAAAATGAATATTCAAATACTATTAGTATGTCGCCGAATCCCAGTGGAAATGAGACTATGATCGATAAAACTCAACCCCCTACTCCATATTTCCGGAGACTAGATTCCTACATCAAGCTAGTACCCATCCCATCTTTCATTGGATGTCCAGTTGATTCTCGGATATTCTATTGCTCGGGCCCTACCCTAAACCCCCAATCTACGAGAATCTAACGCCCTTGATGCTATATCCTAGAATGAACCCTGTCCTAAAATCCTTCTGTGAATCCTAGAAGCCTAAACAAAACCTCAGCCCTAAATGCCTCTGGCCATAATTCCAGATCTATGAAGAACACGTTCCGTGAGGCAAGAACCTGTCATGACGCAGGTAAAGAGGTGTTGGGGTTCAGGGGTTTAGGGCTTGGTGTTTAGTACAAGTTTGGGAATACTGGAAAGGCAATGGAAAACGACATGGAAACAGCCACAATAGGTTAGGGTTCAATGCGGTTTTGCCAATAATGGGGGATCAAGTAAAAAAGAAAAAGTCGACCATCGAATTGAAATTGGGTTTAGGGTTTGCGGGTCTAATGCTTAGGGTGTACCTTGGCGCCGAAAGACCTTCAGTTTTAGGCTTCCAGATTAAGATTTCTACTGAAGCCTGCTTTAAACCAGAAGGTTTGTTTCATCTACCGTAGGAGTAGGTTTAGACCAGTCCTTGGGACTACTGCGTAGTGAGATCTACGGAGGCCCAATTGGTAGACATAGGGTCTCTCATACGTCCCCACGTGAATTGGAACACGCAAAGTGCTTGTTCTGACTTCCATTCCGCTGGAAGGAAGGAAGGAAGGAACTGCTACGGTGCCAAGGCATTGGGTTGAGGGCTTGCGTGGGCCTAAAAAACTGTGGATGCATACGTATAACTATCTTTTCTCAAGCTCGGACCCTGGAGACACGTAGAGATTTGAAGGGGATGATTGGAAGCCTTGATAGGTATCGCACTGCCATTCCTTCGAGGAAATCCCATCTTGGCAACTGATGGATATACACTCTACGTGCGCGCCATCTTCTAAAGATGTACACACCATTACCTGGCTGACAATGGGTGTTTGCGAAGAGAGGGTGGGGTCGCCCTGTTCGGCCTCCAAATATTGAACCCCGGATTTTACCTCGGAGTACACACAATCCTGGTACACTCCTAGCGAGGTACTTTGACAAGAAGCTACCACAACACCTTCCACCAGGTAGCACTGCATGTGAGTCTTGCCGCGGAGGGCGACACGTGCAACGATGAGTTGGTTCATCTGAGGACATACTTAAAGAAAGCACACTCCGCACATGGCAACAGGTAGCAATACTGTAAGCACAGCAATTGCAATGAGGGAGTTAGCCATCAAGTACGGAACCCATCTTTTCTCCACATCTTGCCGGCTGCAGCCGTAGCGCAGGCGATTGCTCAGCGAATCCTAGGAGCTGGAGGCACGTGGAACGTCAGTCTTCTGGAAGCCCGATAAAACTATGAAAACGATGAGAGGGCTGCGCTTGAATGTCCTCATGTCGGCCTGCTCTTGCAAATTGATCTGCTCTTGTCAAGTTCTCAAATTCCAGGCAGGCCCTATGTCTAAAGCTTTCGAACCCAACGACTGGCGCAGAGCAACGCCCCTCTCAGGCAGCAGATGACATGTCTGCCACGATGAAGGACCCAATTCCTTCCGGACTTGCGTTTTATTTGGCTAACCACGGATGTATAAGCTCGAGGGGATAATATTGCGAATTGTTCTGGCTTCTACATTACAGACCTTCAGCCGTGTTCTGACGTTGAGAACAGGCTGTCAGCTTTGTTGCTGCTATGGCTGCACACTTTGAGCTCCGTAGCAGTCTATGGTCCTTCATTCTGCAGGCGTATATACCTGAACATGCGGCGGTCCTGCTTCTCTACCCCAAAACGGTGAACAGGATCTTCGATTTAGGCATCCGATGCTGGAACCAATCTTTTTGGGAAACTGCTTTGCCAAGTTTCTTACACTAGGAAACACAAACTGATTCCTGAGCACAGCTCTCGGCATACTCCAAACCCTCCTAGATCTTCAGTGACCCTGGTTGAATTTGGGCCTGGGGTTGAAGGTTAGGTTTTAAGGTCGTACTTTAGGGTTCAGGTACCCTACGGATATAGAACCCCTTTCGGGCGTTCTCATGATCGGAGTAATACCATGTTTTGGGGCTTCATCGGGGACCTCGATGTTTGGAAACCCCCATATGGGGATTACAAGAAGATTCAGGGCTCACTACTCTGACCAGGACTGGTTACTTGCACCATACTACAAATGAGGCCTTCATGAAGCCCAATCAGCAGTGCAAGGCCTTGGGTTCAGGTCTAGGGTTTTGGGGTGGCAAACATTCTTCGATTCCAAGGAGGTCCTCCACGTACATTGTAACCTCATATAAACCCTAAACAGCCCTGCACCTTCCACCGTTTTTGCAACAATTCGATGACGGGGTGCGGTCTCCAATCATCACGCACCTGGGTTGCGGATCCAAAGTCTGGAGGTTAGGGTTTAGGTGTCAGTTTAAAGGTTATAGTGCAGGGTTTGTCGGCTGGGGCTTGATTTGATTTAGGGTTCAGGAGTTAGGGTTCTTTTATGCTTAGAGTCGGTACGTTTAAGGCTTGGAGTTAGGGGAAGCGGCACATCTTGCGCAGAGACTCGCCCTGGAAGACCTATTTCCTGAATTGCAGCTTAGTTGTCCATTGTCCCTGCACATTTGGACTTTCTACATCCCAGGAAGCTACTGGAGCAAGTTGGGTCGTCATCATCGTCACACGTACCCCAAGACCTAGACAGGGGACAAGCAGTGCAATCGATCCTGTTTGCATGTTCAAGCTTTTGCTTCAAATATGCTGTACAAACAGGCCACAGGGAGCTAGGCTTCTATTCTTTATGTTGTGGGGTGTTGGCTTTGGCATCTCCAGAGCGTACCGTATTTCCACGCTAGTGACCGCTACTAGGCAGCAGGCAACAACCATAAAGCTACAACCCTGTGCCCGCTCTCTACGGTACCAACCTGAACCATTGATTACCAACCATGTTCCCTGGAAATCCTCACGCAGCTAAAAGCAGAAATCGGAATAATACTGGAAGAAGAAGAAATCGTAGCAATAGCAGGACCATGGAACTGAACCCCCTTCTAATAGTTCTGGAATATCGTGCATTTGGGGACCCCAGAATCTATTTGTAATCTCCATGCATATATCCCCACGCTGCGCAATGGCCCTCTGTTTGTGAAACCTGCATGTAATCCTGAGGCGAGGCAACCCCTGCACCAGCCCCTAGAATCTACAGAAAGAGGAAACAAAACGAAGCCTAGCTGTTCAGTGTCGACGGCTTTTCCAAGATTGATCGTTGGGTTTTTACTGCCTGTTGCCATCTTTTGCCCTGCCCTCAGTACAGGCAAGCCGATGTTCACCAAACAAGCTGATAAAGAGCCTTCACAAGTTGCGTCCAGCCGTATGGTTCTTTTGAAGCTTTTGGTGGCACGACGTTGGAAGGGAAAACCCTGTCGAACCCACTCAGAGTCCGGTACGAGGCACGCTGCATTGATGTTGGCGCTCACGATTTCAGGCATTAAGCCTGTTGAACTTCGTGGTAACTACTGTCTCCCGGGACATGTGTCAGGGGCAAAATCAGGTGTAACATGACATGGGACACTAGGACGACTTCTGACGCTTCTAGGGTCCTTATTGTAACGGTTATGCTATAGCTCAGCTTCCATTTCATGTTCAATTTCGTTTCCCATCTGATTCTCGATTTTAGGGGTTGAGCAGGATATCCTGGCATCCTGTGCATCAATACAATTTGTTGGTCATCACGCTTATTCAGCGGAGGGCTTCAGCAACCGCAACCTGTGCAACGCAGAGCCTATACTATAGGGATCACATGATAGTCATAGAATTCTTATGCGGGTTGGTGCTACCGAACTCCCTTGCTGCACTTCATTGTTATGATTGCCATCGCCAATCTGCTCCTAGCTGCCTGGCCAAATTTCACAGAATTCAAATTCTGCCCTAAACCTGAAATCTCAAAACCGCCTCGCTACAGCACAAAGCAAGAAGAGAAGATTCTGCAACTAAAACCCACCTGCTGTGACCCTTCAGCATAAAGCTCTACGAGCCACAACCCACACCTCACACCCTACTAAGAGCCTGAAGCCTGAGTACCAACGCGTTGGCGCCTGCATCAGCCACGCGTAGATTGGCAACCTTGAGCTCCCACAATGGCAGGGCTTAGGACTTAGGGTCGTGGGGGTTCACTTTTGTGGGCCGTTTCCAAAGGTTTTAAGTCGTCAAGACTAAGGCATTTGGGTCTTTTGCAATAGCACGGTCTAGCTTGCTTGCGGGCAGTAGGTTAATGAGGGAATGTGGCGTATAAGGACTCATGTAGGGTAACATTTTCCCTTTCCCAAAACAACACGAGCAAGTTAGGAGGATTTGGGGCTTGAACAAGTTCCTGGTAGATACATTACGAACCATTCGTGTCGTCAATAATGGCCATATGAGAGTGCTGGCTATAAGCTCCTTATGACTTCAGGACGTGGACGCTCAAATCCAAACCCCCTTTGAATGTTCGCAGAGGACACTAGGCTTTGGGCTTTGGGCACAGAGATTTGCTTGGGTGTTCGTATGAACCTTCAACATCTTTGCGCAAGGTGCCTCCAAGCCTTATTGAAATCCGTGATTTGGGTTTGCACGGTTCGACACGCTGCGAGGCTCCATGTCTAGAACCTCACAGAATTGTAGGTATAGGTGCTGTGGTCCGAACCATAGGCTCCCCGCCACCCCTACACCCTTAAATTCCTCATCCTAAACCAGTAAGGACCAGCGCTGCCACTGTCACTCAAGCACCTTATGTTCGGCAGAGGAAGGCTTACTCCATCCGCAGTAAGACTCCCAACAAGTGGGTGCTTGGAAGCAAATTACCACTACAAAGAAACTACATCACTTACGATAATACTATGAGCCCATGTATTTGTGATTTGATTTGAATTCCTTGACAGCAACCCAGACGTGAACACCAATCAAAAACCGAGTTCATGAGGCCTGGAACAGGTAAGCTAAGACTGGGCTAGATCCCTCTAGGCACCCGTCTATCTGCACCCGAAGAGGTCCAAACTGCCTCCATACCTGCAAGCATCCCACCACGAAATCTATGAACAGCCTAACACTTACAATAAAAGACCATTCACTCACGGCATGAATGTGGATCCAACAGCCTCAAATTCAAACCTCATACCTCAAATCCTGCTCCGCAAGTCGTAGTAGCCTTAAAAGTCCATAAGGGCTAAATCCTTAAGCCCTACAGCCTTTGACTCGAAACCCTAACCCCCCAATCTAGCAGAGCGTCCCCCTGAACGTGGCCGCGCGTATCGCAGACGCACTTCGGGTCGCCGACAGGGCCCATGCGGGTCGTGCAGGAGTAGTGCCTGGAAGACTGCAAGTCTGATTTTTTGAGTTTATGTTGTGTTTGGGGGGGTCTGGGGCCTGACCCACAAGGCTACACCCTGAACCCCAGACCCTTTTCCATGAAAACGATCTTGGTTGCTGCCTGGCTTCTGCTGCTAATTCGGACATGAGTTTCTAAGCGGAGCCCTGCAAGAAAAGCCCTCGAGTCCACTTAAGTGTGTTGTGTGCTTTCATATCTACTCCACGTACTTGGAAGCAGAGTACATTGGGGCTCCTGCGTCCAAATTAATGCAAGATTTCCTCCATCCAACGCATAAGGGCTTTCGAACAATCACATGATGATGCAGATAGCTCCAAGCCACTCACATGAGGGGAGCTTTGCTGTACCGACTATACTCTCACCCTTACAAACCCAGAATCCCACATAGTAGTTTTAATAAACAGGGGGCCCAACGCAGACCCCGATATACTATATTCTTTGTGGTAGAGACTCCGCAAGAAGAACCCGTAATTCTTGGAAACCCCTTTATACTTAACCTTACTTACATATATACATAAGTAGCATACGTTTGGCACAGATATAGCTATGTATAGACATATATATATACCGAGCCCTTGTTAACGGACGGATTCGGGGTTCCATTCCGTTTTGAGGGGAAGTAGTGAGCAACCAAACGAGATGCGAAAACGTTTACTCTATGTTGGGGACTACGGCATCCTCAGCTTAATTCAAGGATAAGCTCACGCCATATAGGGAACAACAGTATCCTCAGTTAAGTAACCAAAGACTCACATTTTGCACTCATTCACCCGCAATGGGCTCCTCCAGCCCGAACTTCTATTCCTGAACGACTCACTTACTGGTGGCCAGTACGGAATGAAGAAATGGATCCCGATGGTATTTCCTACCTAACCGCTATCGAGGTCCCTAAAGCCAGTCTTTCATTCCTTACTTACCACCAGTAAGCCAAGTAACAATTGAGACAGGAACAGGGCACCATGTCGTCTTTGCGTTCTTCCGCACGAACTCCGCAATCGATCCCTGCCGCCGCATGCCAAGGTTTGAGGGTTTTTGGTGTAGCGCCAAACAAAGTGGGATGCAATGCCTAGGGCGCAAGGAGTTCATGGTGTTCAGTGCTACTGCTTGCAAACACGATTGGTCTGCGCGGGCCTGAGGAAAAAACGGTGCGGTGCTTTGGGTTCAACCTCAAGCCAACCCATCCTAGCAACTTGATGCATCGTTCCAAACCTACACACTCAATCCTAACCTCAAAGCGGTCAAACCCTTAAATCCATTCCGTACACACCCTATATCCTGGAAATCGGCAGCTTGTTCCTCTGAGGCAAAGCTAGAACTTAAATCCCTTCACCCCAAATCCCCGCCCCAGGCCCCAAAGCCTTGAATACATATCTTAGATCACTGAACAGCATCAACACTCTGCCTGTGCGCCTCGTCACTCTGAGCCGCCAAGCATGCAGAGGGACCAGAACGAAGGAGTGAATCCAGCGGCGGAGCGTCGAAGATACGAACTGCTTGCCTTGGCTAGAGGGCTTGGGCTTTCTCAGCTTAGGGCTAAGGGTTCAGGGGTTCGTGGTTCAAGGCCGGCTTTAGGGTTGAGGGTTCAGGACATATGCCGTGCGGGGGGGGGAAGGCGGCTTGGCCGAAGCAGCCCGTGGGGGGCCTGAATTGGATGGATTGGGGCCGGTCTCAGTTTGTGGTGGCAGTGGTGCCAGGAAAGCGGAGATTTGGTTGAGGGTGAAGCGGGGTGGAGGCTGTGTGGAAGGCCTGTTCGGAGGCCGTGGGGGGTTGTTGACCGCCAGAATGGTGAACTCCTCGGCACAGTGCAATTTTCTGTGAGGAAAACCACATGTAAAAGTCCGGATGCATTTTGCAATCAAAGCACCCAGGCGTACCATATGGTGCTTAGAGTCTTAGCGGACAAGACACGAGTTTGCCCCCTGCTTGAAAACTACAAGCCGAAACGCTACATACGCCAATAACCCCAAGCAACGCCACATACCTTCACCACGACCATAAAAGCCACCCCTATCTCACATCCACTTCCGTAGCTCTGATGCCCCAACCCCAACCCTGTAAATCTTTAACTCTTATACCTATACCCTGAACGCTGATCCCGAAACCCTAAACCCTAGCACTGCACAGCAGAGACACCGGACCGCTAGGACCAGAGTGTCTACATCTGCATCGTCGGCCAAGTAATTCGGATTTACCTTTGGGAGTTTGGAGTTTTGGGGGTTGAGGGCTGTAGGGCCACGGGTTTAACGTTTAGGGTGTAGGGTGTTGAGCATGCTGTCTAGGGTGTATTTGCTTTACGGTGCTGAGTTTGCGGCCGGAGGGGCTTGGAGGTGGAGGGGTTTAGAGGTTTGGTGTCTAGGTTTCAAAGTTGTTGTGGACACTAGGTCTTAGGTGCTAGAGCTCTGAACCCTAAACCTTAAACTCTCCTCGTCAATCTTGAGTATGGCTGGTGGATACATCGAATGAGCCGAGCTGCCAGGGGCGGAACGTGCGGGTTGCTACTCTGCAGCTTTATGAAGCCTTGCATAGGTGGGATTTGGAGTTCAGTGCTTGGGGGTGGATTCGGGATCTAAGGTTTAGTTTTACCTAGGCTTAGATAAGGTGAGAGTTTAGGGAGTACAAAAACTCCTTCATGGATTACAATCAAGGTTTGGGGTGATAAATGGGCAATAAGGAAATCATACGCGTGACCATAAAGGCTTCTGAACTACTACATACTTGCAATCCCAAAGACCTTCAACTTTTGGATCCCAATCCTGATGTTGTTTCATGTAGACCCTTACATCAAACCCTAAAAGCGAAGGTTTGTTGGGTCGGAGGTTTGGAGTTCAGTGGGCCCAGCCTTAGACGACATAGGTTTAAGGTTCCGGCGCAAGTTGATACGGCTTCGTAGGGGCTACCATGTCAGTACTGTGAGGGTGTCTAAGCATAGATTGTTTCGCTTAGTAGGGACATGCTGGCTCACTGGGAATACTTGGAAAGTGCATGACAGTGTGAGGGAGCCCTGTTCCTTACAAACATGTGAGCAAAGCCATCAGGGCAAGGATTAGGCGGCCTGGAAGCAAGTTACTTGGGAACAAGGTGAAGGCTCTTGCTGACATAATTTGGCATCTACTGGGCTTCTGTTAAGGACTAAAAAAGACTTCGCTTATTTACGACATATCTGTACTATGCCAACTTCATTTGGGTTTCTCTCTGGCTTTGGGTTTTGGCTTCCAGGTTCCCAGGCCTGACATTAAGGACGGCACGTTGAGGGAACGAACAGATCCCCCAACTGCTGCTGTGCGTAGACACCGGCAACTACGCCCCCACCCCTCCCCCCCCAAAAAAAAATGATTTAGGTTCCATGTCATGGAGGCTGATCAGGGGACGTTTACAGACCACTGTTCTTTTGAAATGGGGCTATGTCAGGATCCACGTCAGTTTGAGGAAGGGTACAAGCTTGAATAGTGGATCGGTACCCAAATGGGGCTCCGAACAGAATGTAGGGTTTCTGAACATTGTCAGGTATGGAGTTCATGCACATCTGCTCCCTGAAAGGCGCTTGGAAGGACACAGTTAGCACATCAGAGCGAGTACAGCGTACAACGGCTTTCAGATTTCGAGTCAGACAGGCCGATGTGCGGGCTAGACCCCAGTATACTGTGCATGATCCTTGTTAAGGACGTCCCGAAGGACGTCCTTTAAGAGGCATGCAATTGCGGGAAATCTCCATATCTGCCTAGGAACCTCTGCTCTGTGGCTGATTCAGGATGCAGCCAATCTGAGCAGGTGTAGTTTCTGAAGGGTTCAGGGATGACCTGTGTATTGGTTATTGAGGGTCTAGGGCTTACGGATTGGGCTTAGAGATTAAGATATTTGCTCTTTGGATTTGCTGAAGTTTTGTGCCCAAAACGTACTCAAACGACAAAAAGGCTACGTTGGAAGTGCTGCGCAGGGTCAAGGGCATGGTTTGGGCTTTGGATAACGTAAAGCTATCAACCTTAAACCTTTACCATGGTGCCAGACAAGTTATACCTGGCTTAGGCTGGAGGACTCAAAAGACAAAGATTCCGCCGTCTAGGATTTAGGGCGTAGGGTTAGGGCACAAAAGAAATCAGGATTGCAGCACATTCCCAACTTTCTTGCGACTTGCAATACTGCAACAAAGCTAGCTTTGCAGGTGCTGGGCTTCTGAAATAGGTGTATTCTAGGGGCCCAAGAGACATACAGGGATCATGACCTCATGGGGTTCTGTGCTCAGGATTATCAAAGAATATTTGAGAACCCTCTTTCCTTGGACTTTGGGCTTTGAGGCTTGCAACCGTTGAGCTGGGCAAACGGCACACTGCATGAGATGCAAAGCGCGACGCCCAGGATGGGAACAAGGAACTTTGAGGATCGTTCTTGGCATGAGCTTGGCGGGGCATGAGCTTGTAAACCAAGACCGTGCATAGACCTAAAGGCCTCAACTCCGAATCAATCCCTAAACCTTCACCCCGAAACCCGAAGCCCTGGACCCTCAAGCCGCACCCCCCAAGCCCAGAACCCTTCGACCTTGAAGATCCTGAACCCAGACGTGAAGAAGCCTCGGAGCCCAGCACGAAAGCCGCGCCTTCCAGTTGTTACATAAAGCCTCCGGCAAGCCGCAGAATCAAGCTGAGGGTCCCACGTTTAGGGTTTCGAGGTCTGAGAGTTTGGGACCTCAAATTTGACATTAACTATTTGTTCTCAAGCATTGGGCACTAAGCTTTCATGCTCAGGGATATGGAGGGCCTCTTCAAAACTAGTCTCTTACCCTGAGCCGTACGGTACGGCACCATGCGAACCTCCCGCACCACCATAAGGATCCTGGCCAGGAGAACGTCACATAAAGGCACCCTGCTGTAAGGGAGGGAGGGGGGTACAGTTTTCATGCAGGTGGCTCCTAACATGATAGCCACCCTTGTATAGAGTACATGTCGGTCGTGCCTCATATTTTGGAGCCCAAGGTAAACAAACTGATGCAGGGATCTCACGGTCATTTTGCGCTTGGCGGTTGGGGTGGATAGTGAAGGGTTTGGGGTTCTGGGCTTGTGTGCTTCATGATGCAGCAGCTCTACGATATGTCCTCCCTAGAGAAAGGGGGGTCAACTAAAAACAGGTTTCCTCTACAAAGCTCGCTCGGTTCTGAAGGCTCTGTCTGAGGATTGATTTACAGAGGATGATCTGGATCTCGCTGGGGCCCAAAACCGAAACACATTAGACAGGTCCCGGAACATTAGGCCAAAACTCTTTAAGCGGCTGCCTACATCAAGACAGGTCTGTTCAACAAAGCAAATGCAAGATTACGGCCTAGGTTCCGGCGTCAAGGGTTGAGGGTCTGGGTATGGGGCTTAGGATTTAGGGAATGCAGGGCTTAGGGTTGGAGGTGGGGCTCAAAGTTCACAGCCGACAGTTTAACACGGGCTTAGCGTCCATGGCTTGTCACTTCCGGGCTCAGGCGTGGGTCTGGGCCAATGCTTTGGTTGTAGGACGTGGGGTTTACGGCTTGGGGTTTAGCATCTTGGGCTGCAGGCTTCGGGTTTGATGTTGAGCTTTGGGGCTGAAGGTTCAGCAGAGTGCCACCAGTTGGAAAAGCACATGCTACACCAGACGCCCTCCCTCATCGAGGTGCTGGCCCGCTGGCGTGCCTCTGCTATCTACCCCATGTGCACGAAAACGTGAAGATCGGCCGGGACGGTGGCTGGCAAAGGCACTTTGGCGTCGAGAGTGTGGGGTCAAGCTCAGGGGTTGGGCCTTCAGGACCCCAAACCATTAATCAAAACGGACCTTATAGGATGTCCTACAGAAGTGTTCGTGGGCCTGGTTTGCAGACTCGCTCTCCTCAAACAGCCGCCCCCACCACCTGAGCTCCAATTGCTAGGGAAGGAAGCCTAAAGACTTCTCCTAAGCATAGGCTTAGGCTTTAGGGCTTAGGGAATTGTTTAGGTTTCGGGTGTAGGATTTAAGGTTCAGGGTTGCCTGCCGCAAAGACTAGAAACTCTTCAAGAGGATTATCTGCGTTCCATGTTTGTTTGGGGGAGGCTACGTACTTACTATGGAGGTTTCCAGAAGTCGGGGGCTCCAACGTAAACTCCAACATACTGTAGTCCTGACTATAGGGACCCTGAAGACAAGAAGGGACCCCTCCAATTTTTGGAACCTACCGTATATATAGCTGAATAGAAATACTTGTACAATAAACCCACACCCAACCCACAAACTAAAATCATCCCTAACAAGGATCCAGCCACACCGCCAAGTCAGCAAAACGATTGAACCTTCGAGGAATTCAGCTTTTGGGGCTCCGGTTTGGATTTAGGGCTTTGGATTCAAAGCTTGGGGCTTAGGGATGTACAAGCACCCAACGCAAGCTCAACTACTTGGTGTTTGAGCTTTAGGTGCACCAGGATGTGAGGACAGAGGCTCAGGGTTATAATGAAGGTGTAGGTGGGGGGGGGGGTTCGGGCATAAGGCCCAGGTGAAGTTTTGGGTGGAGGCCTCCGGGTTTCAGTGGGGTTAAGGGTCTGCAGTTGTCCACAATCCACAACACTGAGGTCGCTCAGGAATGGCTGAAATTATATACGGACTCGGATCAGGGTGCTGGGCGCAAAACTATGAAGCCGGCCGCTTTGGGGCCATAATAACCAAGGCTCTGTGCTATGAATGTGAAGATCTAGGTAATGACAGGTCCAGGAATACATCCTGCAGAACCCTTCAATTTGCAAATCCCGGCTCCTAAACCCTCAGCCCCAAATCTTAAACCGAAAAACCTATGACCTCATATGCTCTGACCGAGCAAGAACCTGAGCGCGGCCCAGGGGACATGATGGAAGAGCGAACATCCGGCGTCCAGCGCTCGAAAAATTCTGCAAAGCGAAAGGCTTAGGGCCTCTAAGGTTGAGGGATAAGGTTTTGCGGTTACTGAAGGGTTTAGGTTTAAAGCTGAGGGCTTAAATAAGTAATAACGTTTAGGGTGTAGAGTTTAGCGTTTGGGGTGCTTGGTTCGAGGGTTCATCAAGCATGGATACCCAAACCATGAACCCCTAAGATTGACCTTGTAGAGTGCTTACCAGGCCTATCTAACCCCGACTGGTCCCGACTTACCAGCTGCATTACACGACTTGCTCACTAAGCTTTACAAAGTTGCACAACGCTCAGCCCTGCACAAATCTGCCCCGCGGAGCGTTCCTCAACCACACATGTCACACCACCAAATTGGGTAATGCAGACGCCTGAATAAGTACCAATAAGAACCCTAAACCCAGAACCCTCAACCGGGAAACACACTACATTCTGAGCTTCAAACGCTAATCCTAAAGAACGAGCGTTGGTCGTTAAACCCGACGTCCTCAACTTGCCAACTGGAGGTGTAGGTAAAGAGCTTAGGGTTCAGAATTGAGGAAGCCCACGGTTCCTGGCCTTTTGGGAAGACTTTGGTCCAAGTATAAATTGTGGAACCGGAACCCATGATGTGTGTAATTTTGCTGCTCCGGAAGTGTTGGGATTTCTCAGAGCAGGACCACACCAATATACAGTATAAGGATTACCAGGGCAGCATCGGGGCCCGACCTAAGCTCTACAGAGATAATCTTAAAAACTCCTATGTTGCTACCGGAATGACCAAAGTATTGCTTTACCTGCCTTGTGAAGAAACATGATTTTCCAACATGTTCACCCCTGTACCAAGAGCCCTACACTTTTCATGCCAAATTTTCCTGTATCCCCAATGCTGCCCCGAAAACTCCTAAACCCTAATCTCGGCAACCGTAAACCCTAAACCCCTTGACTTCAAGCCCTAAGCAACGAAAGCCAGACACTAAAACCCCAAAGCCCTGAACCGTAAAGCCCCTCTGCCCAAACGCTGTGGATGACATAACCAGCACACGCTGCCTTCGAGCTTGGCCAACATGATCCTGGGGTAGAGGCTCTGGCAGTGGCGCGACATGAAGATGGTCTGCCTTAGCTGCTTGGGATCTAAAGCACAGGGGTGCAGCCGTAAGGCTGTAGAGTTTTGGGTTTAAAGGTCTGCTCCAAGGCCAACTTGCGGGGTTAGCCCCGAATCTTCTTCAGGACAAGAAGGTTTAGGGCTTAACTTCGAGCAGTGACTGTTCTGTTCCTAAACTTCGAGCCCAACGCGAGATGGCAGCAAATGTAATACCCTAAAGGCACTTAGTTAAAACTGAAAGCCTACTCCCTAGCTCTCCCCAGGATCCAAATGTCCATAAGTGGCTTGCAGTTATAAATGTTCGGGCTCGCAATAAGCATTGCGACTAGAGTCTAGACTTAGATCCATCGGCATATGACTAATTTGCAAAACAAACATCCTCTTCTCAGCTCTAGATCGGAGGGTGCACAGGGGTTGAGGACTATGTTTCCCCAGTTGCCCATAGGATGCAATTTGGGGCCCAAAGGGTCCTCTCTGTGATGGTTAATGGCTCAAAATATGTACTATTTGACTACTTTGGTCTTTAGGGTTTAACGAAACCCCGAAGCCCCATAGATTCCATACATCCCTTGACTGTGGTACTAGTACCCATGTAAATGTACTTGGACCCTTTGGGTTTTATCCTCCGAGGCAGCAGTCTGAGTGTCATGGCTTGGGGCTTCGGGATAGCAATGACGCATTTCGCAGAAAAGCGGGAGGGAGTCGCAAATCTGGGGCCCTCTCAGGTTTCTTCCCTTGATTTAGCGGAAGCTTAAAAACCTCATTCTGCTTGTGCGGTGGGCCCTGCATTACAGCTTTTGCTTTGTGCGTCAGCTGTACATGTGTCTCTGATTGTCCCTGGTGCACTTGGTCATGCACAGAGCTAAGGTTGACTGGTTGCGTGACTTATGCGAGAAAACGAAGTGTGCGGAGTCCCCACTTGAACAATCTCGAGCCTGTTGCCAGACAACGGGAGAAGCAGTTTCCGGTCAGAACAGCCCTCCCCTCTGCAAAGCTATTGTGCCCGTGGCCAGTACTATTCATGCTAAGACCACGAATTCAAAAATGTTGTACATGGACATGTGCCAAAATCAAGTTCACTATTTCGGGGGGTTCTATTCATGGTTCACTTGAGATGTTGACGCGATTTGGGAGCACATGCTTAAATAAGCCAGCACGGATAACTCCAGACGTGCTTGGAAACTCCTGACAGATGTCCATGCATCTTGGAAGCCCAGTTGCCAACGTAGGGTTTTCATCTGGGGTCTAAACATGACCGAGTATGCTATTAGCCTACTACCTTAATTTCTAGGATTTGGGGACATAAGCTCATGCAGGATTCTGTCCATCAACTGTAGGAGTCAAGATTTACGGCTAGGAGGGTTCAAGAATTAGGGTTGATACTTTGGGGTTGCGGGTCAGAGGTTCAGGGTATAGGGTGTACGTTCAGGATTTATGGTTAAGGGTTGCAAGCCTAGGCTCAAAAACCGAAGCTACCCCTACAGTAGGTTCTTGGATGCAGGAAGAATGAACTTGCAATGGGAATGATACGAAGCTCAGTCACCTATAATATGGGATTCTTACACGAGTCCACCCCAAATATTTGCTAGGTAGCATTCCTGAAGAAACGTATACCCACCGAAATCAGAATGAAAAAGCCCTGTCTCAATTAAGAACCTGCTTTGTTAGGAAGCACTGAGAATCGAATTAGTATTGACGTTCAAGTGCGGCAGCACTATCGAGTCAGAAGGATGCTTGGCACTTGAATTCCTAAGAAGGCACCATAAGCCAACACTCCAGGAATTCTAATACGTATTTTGGGGACCCTCAGTGGCGCAAGATTTCCTCCATCGACGGCCTGCGATGCAGGGTGTAGGGCGTACCGTGATGCGGCCCTACCCTCCAAATCAGTGTTTCTCAACATGGTGGGTCGGTGCAATTTAGGGGCTCCCAAAAAAGGAGGTTTTATAACTGGACGATGTTGTGGGACAATATTGTATTTGAGAGATGCCACCAAAAAAACAATCCTGTTGGCCCCATAAGCCTTTCCCAACCATGCAAAAAGCATGAGGAGGTAGCCCCATGTTCCGGAGGCGAATCAGGGCTTGCAACGAGTCCTTCATTTTAAGATACTTCTGGAGTGGTGTGTGCTCCAGGCTGTCAGCAGACTGCACGCCAACAGCAAGCCATGTGGTCTTCTGGAGCTTCACCAGATTTGTACACTGAGGAGTGTATGCACCAAAAAAAAATTAGAAGAGGGCCTTGGGGTACATTATACTATGTACTCTACGTACCCTAGGGTTACGGAGAGAAAATGCTGGTGCTGGCTCAGGCCTCTACAGACTCTACAGTGCGCTCAAGACTTCTCCGCTTCAATGGCGGCCGGTGTTTCAAAGCTCGCGAAGGAGATGCTGTTCCAGCTCTTCCGGCGTCTTCATCTTGTCTGCAATTTTGAGCGCCTGAAGGATTGCAAGCGACATAGATATGTGCCAAATATGGTCACCATGACAATTCTTATAGCCATTACGGTTTTTGTCAGAACTGCTGGTGGATACTGTCCGATTTGATTTTAAGCATGTGTAACAGTTACGTCCCTTTTTTGGGCCGTTGCTGGGCACCTCTAAGACAAAGGGTCCAAGTACCCCAAAAGTGCAAACAAATAAACAAAATGCCCTGTAGCCCTTAGCGCTGAAACCGTAAACCCTGAATCCTAAACCCGATGAGCCCTGGCTCCCATGCCAATTGTTATTGTCTTGTCCACTTGGTTCTGCATGCATTATTAGGACAAGCCCGCCCAGGACTAAAAATAGCCCCCTCGAGCCCCTGCCTGCAGGAGAAATTGGAGAAATGCAACGTCCTCACCCAAAGGTGAGGTTTTTGTTGAGGTTTGAAAGCTTTAAGGAGTTCGGGTTTTAGGATCTAGGAGCTGCGGGCTTGGTGTCGGATGGCCTTTCGTGTTAGCCCATCAAATTGTGGGACCAATTTTAGCGTTGATCGGCAAAAGCCGCAGCCCTGAGACCATAGACCCAACCAAGGGCATCAGGTGGTGTGGTTTAAAGGTCCTCCAATGCAATACATTCTGGAGATCGCAACACCTTCCGAACCGGAAAAAACATGCCAAACCAAAAAGTGCGCTTAAGAGTCCGGGTAACTCTTGACCCTACACCCCAACCCCTGAATCCTGATCCCTAAACCCTAGACAGTGAGCCCCGTTTGGGATTTTGGGTTTAGTGTCCGTCAACAGCAGGGAATTCCCAATTGACCCACCTCCGAAATGTTGGGATCCGCTTTGCTGCCCCGCGTTGGGCGTGCCTGGAGGGGTTCTGGGCTCTGGGACAGTGAGGTTGAAGATTTGGGATGTACGGTTAGGTTGACCCGGACACTACGGAACCCACCTTTGGGGGTGCTCTGTTTGCAAGACATATCAACCCTTAGCACAAATGTTGGGCATAAGTCTTAGGACTTAGGATCTGGGGTTCTGACCTAGTAGTCTTTATGGCTTGACATTCGCAGGGATGGAAGGTTCACGGGCGGAAGGTCGGTCTTTGGGTGCACGACTATAAGGCTTGTGAGTCATTTAGGATTCAAAGTTTAGGGTTTGGGATGTAAACATTGGTGTTTATGGTTTGGGTTTCAGGGCTGGGGATTAGGATTTAAGCCCCGGGCTCGTGGGTTTCAAAATTGAGGGTTACAACCCTTCAGTCTTGTGGCTGCGTAGGGTTCAGCGGTCCATTTGGGTTTAACTCTACTCTACATGGATAGACTTCCTGAAGCCCTCCCTAAAACTAACATGAAACTCCACATAGCCCACTGCTGAAAGGACTGCCTCAAGCCCTGAAGACCTTGAACCCGCACTTCCCAATGTTTCTTTAGCCTGCAAGGCTCTCGGGTGCACACGGTGTATGCTCGGACCAATTCTGGCGTATGATGCCTGTAATGCCAGAAATGCACCCGAACCTTGCTTCCTAGCCAACCAATCTCTTTCAGCAAAAATCATCACCTGAGACACAATCTGTAAGCTGACAGATTGCAGATGCTTCCCCTATGAAGCCTACACCCTTAAAGACGCCTAAACCCTTCAAACCCCTAAAGCCTGAACCCTCTGCTATATCTACGCCCCACCTGGGTATTGTCGCGCAGAATCCTCAAGATCCGAGCAAAGGCCACGGTTTCGCCCCAGGTCCTGCCGATACGTGAATGCTTGGCTGCGTGCGTTTTACTAAACAGCCATCGCAATGTGTCCGGTTTGGAGTCTCGGACTCAGAGCTTCGGCTTTGGATTTAGGCCTCAAAGTTACCCTCCGCTAGCCTAGCATATGGTTCTCCAGCTTAAGTCGGGAGAGATAATTATATTATGCTCGGACGCGCCGGCCCTTAACCCACCACAAAGCTTGAAGCCATGCCTTCCGTCATAGTTCGGCATTCGCCGGTCACTGAGTTCCAGCATGCGGTTTTCAAGCTCGGTGTGTAGATCCTCGATGAGGCCTGGGCAGGATGTGTGCGAAGTTGGCGTCGTTTTCGGGGTGTTCCTTGCATGGTTCTTTGTGGGGATATTTTGATGGCTGCCCCGAAACCTGCGCCACGCCAATGCCTCCTATGAGACCCCTTTTCCGGTACCCACAGAACATTTAAAGCAGGACACAAGTCCTGGCCGCAATATAAACTGAATAGCATTTGGGTGTATACGTGTTTTCTGGTGTTTATATGAGGGTTGGTATAAGAAATCATGTAAGCTGCTGGGTTCAGCGCGCAGATAGCGGTAGAATAGGAATATGGGAGCCCTGATGCAAGATAACCCGAGTCCCTTATGATACCTATCAGTGGGTGGAGCCCAACCCAACATCAATCAGGGGATTAGGTCAAAGGTTTAGGTCAAAGGTTGGAACTATGGGTCACCATTTTTGAACCCCTACCCTTCTGAAAGAGGGATTTTAGGGGCCTGCAAATGTACAGATGAAGTATCTCTCTGAACTGTAGATTAAGGACCCGAAGCCCTAAACACGAAAGTGCCTTTCACAGTCTCTGGAACTCTCAC